ATTAAAAATTTTATTTATATAAATTATGAATATCAATTTTCATATTAATTTAGCACTTATAATCATCTAATAAAAGAAACACTATTTAATTGCTGATATATATTTAATAGTATTAAATTTTACGTAATTAATAAACCAATTAGGCATACAAGATTAATCACAAAGTTAACATATATGATTTATATGAATAATAATTTTAATATAAAATTACTTTTTAAAAATATTAATTTTAAAAAAATTAGAGAAATCCTTTAAAACACATATTGAAAGAATGGCATGCAAAATATTTTTTTCCAAAATAAAATGCAAAGTAAAAGGATGAAGATTAAGAAAGACTTAAAAGTATTACTACATAGTTGACTACCATAAGTGGTGACCTAGATATATAGAGAAAAACTCTAAAAGCTATAATTATTTTTTTACTAGCAAAGTTAATTTTCTTATTAATCAAAATATATAACTTATGGCAAATAAAAACCTACAAGAAGCTAATGATTTAAGTAAATCAATGTTAATCTTCGTTTGTTGAATGTTAGAAATTTTGAGTTGTATGAGATGCATGTAAAAAGAGCTAAGGGATAGAGAAATGATGTCTCCCACTATGCAATTTTGGATTAAAAAAAAAAAGGACTCATAAGTGAAACAAAAATTTCGCACATATCCAAATAAGAAAAAGGTTATTTCTTATTGTATATCTCATCAATTAATGTAACATTGCACTATTTTCTCTACACTTCTCACTCGTTAATTATTGTTTCACATGAACTTTCTTTTTGACACTTTTCACACATAAATATGTACTTTCTACACGTACTAATGCATGTATGATTTAACACAAGCAATTTTTTTTTTTTTTTTTGCACTTTCCACACATTAATATATACTTTCCACATGCATTAATGTGTGAAAACCCCTTTGCAACTTTGACTTCTCTCTCTCTCTCTTTTTTCCCAAATGCATTAAATTTAATATTGATTTTCATTTAGAGTACAAGCAAGACGCTTAACCTTTTACATTAATATATATACATTAATTAACAATATGTTAATCCAAGTAAAAGGAACTTAATTCCTTTTAAATTAGATTTCGGGTTTTAATCTTATAAATTGGAAGGTAGGAGCTAGGAAAGCTTCTCCCTTATAGAGTAAAATGTAGCTCAACTTCGCATTTGTTAGAACCCAATATAACTTCTGGATATCAAGAGTTTAGTGTGTATATATATATATATATATATATGCACACATTATAATTGTCATGTCCAGATGTAGAGTATAACAAATGCTGTACATTTATAAGTGAGACCTACAAATAAAAATCTTTTATTTGGGAGTATAATAAGAATCTCCTGAGACTGCGTACAAATTCAAGTGTTTGACCTTATTGAAACAAATAGAACTTATAGTAAATTGAGGTTGTTATATTTCTGACATTGTCTAAGTTTTCTTAATGGAACAGTTTAAATTCTTGATAAATGAATTGCCTTCCAATTTCAAATCATGATTAAGTTGTCTGAAAATTTTAGTTAAAAAAAATTGCAAAAGTACATTGACACGAAAGCAAGCTTGAAAATCACAGCCATTAAAGCATGATTTTAAGTAGTACTCTTAACATCATACTAGGAGAAATCACGAAAGAAATCACACGAATAAATTAAACAAACTTAACCTTGAACAAATTGTTGAAGGATTTATCCTAACTTTTAAATTTCAATTTTTAGTTGGTTCACTCCTAATACCTTTAGTTGTCTTACTACATCAACTTTATGATAATTAAGACTTTATTTAGTATGCTTTTAGTTTTGGGTTTTGAGTTTTATTTTTTTTACATATTTAGTACCTATTATATTTAGAAATCACAATTTATCATAAAAATTTAAATTTATTAAATTTAATTTAAATATAGTACTAGTTATCAAATATATATAAAATAAAAACTAAAAATCAAAATCATACTAGCTAAATGGAGCCCAATTTGATGATTTTATATACAAATAAATAAAAAATTTTGTCTAAATAAAATATTCAACAAATATTATATTTAGAAAAAAATTAATTATCATATTTTTTTGGCCCATTATGGTAATTGACATTGCAAGTGTTATGTTGCTAGTTAATGCAAACTGTTTTAGCTTTCCAAAAGACCTCTTGATCGCTACCTAATTTGACCCATTAATGAACCGATTCACCTCCCCTAGAAAATTTTGTTAGGGTCACTGAGGACATATAGGGCCTGTTTGGTACAGCGGTTGAAATTTAACGGATAACGGGTAGCGAATAGCGGGTAGTGGATAGCTGTAGCGGATAGCTGTAGCGGGTAGCGGGTGGCGGTTAGCGGATAACGGATGGCGGATAACGGAAAGTGGGTAGCGGATGGTAAATAGCAGATTCAATAAATATAACTGTTTGGTTATACAATAGTTAGCGGTTATTGTTTAACATCAAATGACTAATAAGGACATGTTTAAAAACAAA